TCATATGTTCATTTCAATTTGTTCTTTTACAAGCGGCGCCACAAGTGTTTCCGGACACATTGTATATTGTTAACGATGTTTACAAAAAATAGTAATAAAATTCAAATATATGCTTGTCCTTCAGCTTTACAAACTCGACGTTTATATTCGCAAGACTGTGTCGACAGTTTGTATAGATCTATTCCCGAGCATACACGTTGCACTGTTCCGACACGCAATTATATTATAAACTTGAAACGTTATTGTTTACTATCCTCTTTTATTGCGTTTATTGTCGCGTCCAAAAATGATTGTTACAGTACTTTTAATGTTTATTATTATAGTAATTATTGCGTTCGCTCATGATTATTATGTGCATCACACAAGAGCCGGACGACTGATCGATAAAATACCGGGACCGAAGGGCATTCCGATTGCTGGCACTGCACTTGAACTGCAAATTTCACCAGGTAAATAAAAGTTCTTGATATATGTTCATTATTAATTATAAAATATATATGAAACATGCATTGTTATATATATGAAATAAAATTTTATATATATAACATATGTATATATGTATATATGTATATATTGATATACAGGGTGTCCCGGACCTCCATGATGACCTTTGGTGAGAACATAGAACGGATTGAGGTAAGCAAGAAAGTCCTGTTCTGTTTTGCAATATTTGCAATAATAGTCGAGATATGAATTAAAAAAGATTGGTGAATGATCACGCGCGATATGGTAGATGAGCTGCAGTGGAGCCGTCTGCCGTTGTATACTTGTATTAGGACCTTAACTTAGTTTCCGCCCGCAAATGTTAGATGGCAATGCAAACAGTTCTAGTAGTCATTACTAACGAAACAGGTAGTTTGTGATTAATTTCGACATTTCTCGATAACATTCAGTCAGCATACACAATTATTTTCCTAAACAACAATTTCTTTTGCTTTGTGAAAAATGGAACGCGATAAAGTGTTTTTTCGACATGTGCTTTTGCACTATTTTGATTTGAAAAAAAGTGTAGCAGAAGTTCATCGATTACTTGAAGAAGGTTATGGTGATCGAGCTCCATCACATACAACATGTAAAGAGTGGTATAGACGATTCAAAAGTAATGATTTTGATGTCAATGACAAACCACGCTCAGGACAGCCAAAAAAATTCCAAGACGATGAATTGCTAGCATTATTGCATGAAAACTCGGCTCGAACGTTACAAGAACTTGGAAACGAGCTAGGAGTTACTGAAGCAGCTGTTTCCAAACGTTTACACGCCATGGGAAAGATCCAAAAGGAAGGAAGATGGGTACCACATGAATTGTCTGAAAGTGCCATTCACAACCGTTTCAATATCACGGTTTCGTTGCTTGCCAGGCAAAAAAAGAAGAGTTTTCTGTGGCGTATTGTGACTGGCGATGAAAAGTGGATCTACTACGACAATCCCAAACGCAAAAAATCATGGGTAGACCCAGGACAACCATCAACATCGCAGCCAAAACGGAACATCCACGGTCATAAGGTAATGCTTTGCATTTGGTGGGATCAGCAAGGAGTGCTGTACTACGAACTGCTGAAACCAAACGAAACTGTTACTGCCGATGTCTACAAATGTCAATTGAACAAATTGAATGATGAGCTGTTGCGAAAAAGACCAGCAATAGCGAGTAACAGGCGCAAAGTTATTCTCTTACACGATAACGCTCGGCCACACACTGGAAAAACCGTCAAAGAAACACTGACGCAGCTCGAATGGGAAACTCTTCCTCACCCAGCGTACTCACCAGACATAGCGCCTTCTGATTACCACTTGTTCAGATCGATGCAGCACGGCTTGAGTGGTACACGCTTCCGAAATGTTGAAGAAGTGCGAGAATGGGTGGACGAATGGATTGCTTCGAAACAAACATCGTTTTATCGAGATGGTATCGCCCAGTTGCCAGAAAGATGGCAAAAAGTTGTAGAAAGTGATGGAAAATACTTTCATTGAAATAATTTAAATAAATTTTTTACAATAAATGCTTTTTCTCAGTATTTTTTGGGCGGAAACTAAGTTAAGGTCCTAATATATAATATTATATAAATCAAACTGAACAAAAAAGTCCTCTACCATTTTGCAAATGACCACATAGATTTTTAAATATTAAAGAAAATTGTTACATATATGCTTGTATACCATAATGCATAAATTTTCTTTAATTAATATCTAAAAATCTATATGGTAATTTAAAATAAGTAAAGTAAAATAATTAAAATAAGTAATTTAAAATAGTAAAATGGTAAAGGATTTTTTTGTTCAGTTTGACTTAATATATAAATATACTACGGCAGATGGCGCTACTGCAGCTCATCTACCATATTGCGCGTGATCATTCACCAATGTTTTTTAATTCATATCTCGACTATTATTGCAAATATTGCAAAACAGAACAGGACTTTCTTGTTTACTTCAATCCGTTTTACGTTCTCACCAAAGGTCATCATGGAGGTTCGGGACACGCTGTATATATAGAATGGAATATCTGCATGTCTCAATATGTTTTCCATACATTCCTAAACTGTTTGATTGACCTAGATCAAATTTTGAATAGGTATTCCCTAGAAACCCGCAGAAAATATTTTGCATAACAATTGTTTTCATTTTAAATGCATGAACAAAATATTGCATAAATTGTCTCGCAGCATTATTTCCGCCATTTGAGCCATGAAAGTTAGATTTTAGATTCGTAATCAGTGATCCAAGAAACTTCTATACATGTAATTTCATCGACAATAAGCTTTTTTATAAAAAACTAGTTCGCCATATTAGATACGCCATTTTAGATTTTGAAACTTGAATTTTTGATTCGTAATTGGAGGCCCAAAAAGCTCTATATATGTAACTTCAGCGAAATTATAAATGTTCGTAAAAATTTGTCGGTAATATTAACTCTGCCATTTTTGGTCTTGCGTTTTTAACTTGTTTTCTCCCTTTATAAACAGAAGCATTATTATTAAAAGAGTCTTTCCGTAATATGTTTTATTATTTAGGCACGGTATATTTATTCTCCTATAATAAACTCCACTTACGTCAATATTTTCACAGAGTAAATTCGGATAAGATGGCCATACTTTTTTAAAATGCAGAAAAATATATTTCTTATTGTTATTTCTTAATAGCGTTTGTCACATTATTTCACTGAAGCCTACAGTACATATAGTACCATCAAGGTTAAAAGGAAAATACTTCAGTAAAATTATTTATTACAAAAATATCAAAACATGAGCATTGGCCATCTTACTTAAATATTTAAGACAAGATGGCCATAAAGAATAGATAACCTATACATATTTTATGTTCAAGATTCTGCACCTATTATTTTATAAAATAATGAAAAAAACATAATTTGACATATTCATTTTAGTATAAAATATTTAATACATATTATTTGTGAAAAATATAATATACATATAAAACAGAAACCTCTGTTACAAAACTTAAATTTTAAATCCAATTTTTGATCAAAACATATTGCATATTAAGGGACACCTCGCCGATGACGTTGACCATATGTTGTCAAGGACATGTCCTTGAGTATCATTTATAAAGTTTTAGGTGGCGTTCTCTTTTTATTAAAAAATTATGAACAAAAGAAGTTGACTATTTGGGCTGTAGTTTTCCAATTGTATGTATGTATATATTATATACAGACATCTTACTCATGCACAAAGTACACGTGTTTGTGCGGAGGAGAAGCGGAGCCCCACCTCCCGCACTCCCTCCTCAAAAAACTAACCCTAACTTAACCTATTTAAACCATATTCTAAACCCACAGATGTCTGTACTAAACTAGATTGCTAACAGGCTATCTAAAAGCATATAACGGCTTGTGTCCGATAAAGTTTCCGGTGTATGCGAGAAAATAGCCGCTACCGCCATATATTTTCACTACGTTTAGTCATAAAATTCTTTTGTTGAAAATAAGCAAATAACGTCCAATACGAATGGCTACGCTGACTCACATTATACGTTGTAAGTACTCACACAGCACGTAATATTACATTAATATCACAGTAATATTGCAATATCACAATAATATTATATGTTATAATGTAATATTACAGTAATATTACTGATATGTTACTTTGTAATATTACACAGTAATATTACAGTAATATTGTTGTGTAATATATTAAATCCTAAGTAGCATGATAATGTCAAATAACATTTTCATTACGTCATTAAAATATTATTAAAACGTCATGTAATGTTACTTGGCACGTAATATATCGTATTAAAGTATGAATAATATATTTCATAAATAATACGAGGGTGGTCTGAAAAGTTTCCGACCTAACAAAGATACAAGTCATTTTTTCTGAAAATTGTTTTTTATTTTTCAACATAGTCTCCTTGTAAATCTACACACTTCTCCCAGCGATGCTCCCATCTCTGTAACCCGTCGAAATAGTACTCGGCGTTTTTCTCTGCAAAATAATTGTTCACGAAGGTGATTGCCTCTTCATTTGACGAAAATCTCTGTCCTCCGAGCGCAATTTTTAGATGAGGGAACAAAAAGAAGTCGCTTGGGGCTAGATCTGGTGAGTAAGGTGGATGGTCAAGCAGTTCAAACCGTAATTCGTGGATTTTCGCCA